GCTGTAGTCCCAGGCTAGAATAGGAAAACGGGACTGGCCGAAGACCTGGGGTGTTGGGGACATCCCTGGGATTCCTGAATCAAGAACCGATGGGTGATTTCAAACTGTCTGACCTCACCTGGGTTGACTAATGCAGATTCCAGCCTGACTAGTCAAATAACACTTCTCTAAGCATTGTCTCTCAGAAAAGAAAACGTACTTTGCAGGTGCTTACTTTGGCACCAAAAAGCTCCTTTGCACAAACAAGAAGACCCCCGGACTCAAGGGCTGTCAAAGGATCCCCACTGATACACTCCAAGACAGAAGCCCCTGCCCAGTCCCTTCTGGAAAAGGTAGCTTGGCCACGTGTGGGGGGTGGACACCCACCCTACCCTGACCACCCCACAGACCCTGCCAGGAGCGTGGGAAATGCTATGGCGTGCAGGAGAAGAGCATTTCAAGATTGCAGAGGGCTTACTGCACGATGCTCAGGGCAGGAATAAACGTGGGGAAGGGCAGGGATGGAGATAGCCTGTGGTGAACAAATGTGGGAAAAATGAGAGAGAATGGGATAAAAAGGGCCAGCAGCATATAAATGGTTTGCTGGTCAGGATGCTTGTCTTCTATGCCGTCTGCCTGATCGGGGCAGCCTGTCCTGCCTCCCAGCAGAACTCCACTTCTAGTTGCTTTCCTGGGGGAGGGAGTGTCCTTTTCATGTGCAGGTGTTTTTTGGCATTTCAGAGACAGAAAGAGAAGCAGAATAAGGTTGTTTGGGCCATCTGAGTTTGTAGGAGTGCTGAGGGGGTCTGTCTGTGTTGGTGTGTGTGGCCAGCCATGTACCTAAGTGTGTGCATGCACCTTCTGGTAACACACATTCAGATTTGCTCCTGGCAAATCCTGGAGATGCAGCAAACTTGCCACTCTTGAGCTGCTGGATCCATCATCCCCTGACAGGGAACAGCCAAAGATCATGTCTTTGCTGATGAGGCAGTTGCAGCACTGTGGCAGAGGCACACAAGGGAAGATTGAAGCATTACCACTACTAGTACCCAGTAACAGTACCCAGTAACTAGTACCCAGTAGTGGTAATACTGAAGTATTACCTGAGTATCTGTCCAGGTGTGTTTTTTCCCCATATTATCCACTTGGTTTACATAACACAGGACAGTGGGCCTGAATGCTGCTTTATTTGTTGTTACTTGGTCTGCAGGAAAATAACATCTCTCCCACGGTCCTAATGTCACCTAAGGATTCCACTTTCTCCAGGAGTACCATGTTGAATGTACTCCTGCATGAGAATCTATGCAGTCTCCTTCCTTATGCCTAACAGAGGTCACTGCAAGATAGTATTTTAAGTCTCTTTCTCCGATTAAGCTCCTTACCATTCTGCTTCCCCTTCAGATTAGGAGTTGACAGCACTACTACAGCAGAGCATTCAAAAGAGTAATGTAATTTCCATTTTGGTCTCTGTCATTCAATGCAGTTATCTGTGCCAGAACATCTTCCCCCCTTGTACAGTCACCAAAAGAACCCTGCTTGGCTCTGCTGACTCTCCTGGACCTAAGAAGCAGACATGAGCTGCAATCCATGGCAGAGCTTCTGGCTGGAATTAGTTGAAAGGACAAGATTTCCAGTCTGGTGAACTCAGAAGCAGAGCTTTAACTGTGCATAGTTAGATGCCTGTCTTGCAGACTTTGTCTCTTCAGTGACCTGGGGATGGTTTTACCTGCTGCAGATATGAAGAGAGGGACTAAACAGAGGGAACACTGTGCCCCCTCTGGGTGTCTGTTACGATAGCCCTGGATGGTATGACTGCTGTGAACACTGACTGGACACTGATGTTGCTGTACAGCTGCCCCTGACACACCATGTACAATGTCTGGATTTACATGTGCACCATTTGAGTAGATGCACTGGCCAGAAACTCGCAGAATCCCTACATAGTAGCCATTGTCATCTTCCATGGAAAACAAATGCAATTAATAAGAAAGCTATCCAATATTGACTGGCCCAAAAGAAAACAGCTTGCACAATGACATGGCAGACCAAGCCTCAGAGGCAATTCTGCCAGTGCCATCCTGTCTGGGAGGGTCTGCCACAGGCTGGCTTAGATACCTGCGTCTTCCCATGTGCCTGTGCAGTATTGTCTGCAGAAGATACATGCTGTAGTTTAACACTGGTGGGTAGCTAATAACCACACAGCCACTCTCTCACTCCCCCTTCTCAGAAGAACAGAGGGAGAAAATATGATATATGTATAAAAAAAAAAAAAAAGTGGGTTGAGATAAGGACAGGGAGATTGCTCACTCATTACTGTCATGTGCAGAACGGACTCAGCTTGGGGAAGACTCATTTAATTTATTGCCGATTACTAACAGACTAGAGCAGTGAGAACTAAAAGCAACCTAAACCCACCTTCCCATCACCCACTCTCTTTTACCTCTCTGCCCAAGCAGTGCAGAGGAATGGGGAATGGAGGTTGTGGTCAGTCCAGAATATTTCGCTGCTCTCTCACCCAACACTACAGAGGACGGGCAGGTTCTTCAGGGACCTTTGGCAGAATGAGGACTGGCCACAGGTTTGTGGTTATAATTATAAATATATATATAAAAAGAGATTAACAATCAACATATTTTATTATCTACAATTTCCAGCACCTAGCATAGCTGATAGCTGCACAGAATTTCTAGAACTACAGTAGAATTACTAGTTACACAGGTTTTTCAGTCACCTGGACCCCTGCAGATTGGGTCAAAATCTTATCAACCGGTGCAAGATACAAGCATAACCTAGACTCAGGGATTTACATAGAAGAACAGGAGTCACTCAGTCACTGCTCAGAGGAAGAAGACAACAGCGGAGGTGCCCCTGCCCACTGAGGGACCACAGGTTTTGCCACCCAGCAGCAGCTCCAGTTTAAGACCCCCTTAGGGCTGGTAGCCTGCTGGCAGACAGTGCTCCTGGTGCTGTTACGCTTCCCTGAACCAGAACCCATGCTGACGTGTGCTACTAAGTTCTACATCTACACATTTCGTGAAGACCTCCAGGGATGGTGACTCAACCGCTTCCCTGGGCAGCCTGTTCCAATGCTGCATAAGCCTTTCAGTGAAGGAATTCCTAATATCCAACCTAGACCTTCCCTGGCACAACTTGAGGCCATTTCCCCTTGTCTCACCACTTGGTGCTTGGGAGAAGAGCTCGATCCCCACCTCGCCATAGCCTCCTTTAAGGTAACTGTGAAGTACACTAAGGTCTCCCCTGGGCATCCCCTTCTCCAGGCTAAACAATGCCAGCTCCCTTAGCCACTCCACATAAGACCTGTTTCTAGAATATTATGGATATTTCACATATTCTTTGTCATGCTCACCATACTGCCAGGGATCAGGAGCAGGGAGCACCAGTCACATACTTCTTCGCGGTCACTCTCTGCCCATGCGCCATGTGGGGTCCCTCCCATGGGATGCCATCCTTCCCAAATTGATCCTACGTGGGCTTCCCACAGGAAGTGGGAGCTCTTCAGGAACATCTCCAATATGGGTCTGTATCATGGGGTCCATCCCTCAGGAGCAAAATGCTGCAACATGGGTCTTCCGTGGGCAGCAACTACCCCCAGATCCCCAGCTCCTGTGTGGTCTCCTCTCCACAGGCTGCAGCTCATTCTCTGCAGGGTGTCTGGAGCACCTCCTTCCTTCCTTCTACACTGATCTTGGTGGCTGCAGGGTTTCTTCTCTCTCAGTTTCTCAGTCCCCTCTTCCAGCTGCTACAATGCAGCATTTTTTTTTTTTTAAACTCTTCTTAAACACCTCCCAGAGGCACAACCGGCATCACTCACTGGCTCGGCTCTGGCCAGCAGCAGGTCTATTTTGGAGCTGGCTGGAGCTGGCTCTGATCTGACATGGGGCAGCTGCTGGGCTTTGCTCATCCATGCCAACCCCGCAGCCTCTCCCACTACCAAAACATTGCCACGTAAGCCCGTTGTATATGCATCAGTCCCAGACTCAAAACATACATGGAGGGGTGGCGTGGCCATAAACCAAGCCTGAGAAGCTGGGGAGGCATCAGTAGAGTGGATGGGAACCGCCCCTTCAACTTGAAATAGCACTGACATTCATTTGTTTTCAGGCTGGCTTAATGAAACCCAGAAAATGCATCTTTGCACAGTCTGACTGACTGTACGGAGCCCATACAGAGAGATCACAGAGCTGAAATTTATTGGCCAGATGAAGACAGACAAACTCTTTTTGCTTTCACAAAGGTAAACACTGCCATTGGTGTATGATCAATATTGATCCTTTTGATGGGGCGAAAGGGTCAACGTAGTAGGTAGCACCAAGGCTCCACCATTATCTACTTTGCCTCCCCTTTGTGCTTCTGCAAGTCTTCCCCTGGGTCTCTGAAACCTCTTTGGTATGCATCAGTGATAAACATCCTGATCTGACTGCAGCAGTGAAGGTTTCTGGTACTTCTCTGTATCTTCTTAGCAGGTGCTCAAGGGGCCAGAGAAAGCTACCGTTGCCTTGCCTAAAGGGAAGGTGTGCTGTCCTTTCAGGTGGCTGAGGAGCCATCTCCTGGATGTTGGAGCAGCCCTGGAGAAACACCCCAGAACAGTGTGTGCAGGGCCACCTCACAAAGCATCTTCATCAAGGAGGATGCAGGCGTCTCGCCAAGTTCCTTTCCCCCCACAGAAGTGCTTGAGATCGCAGATGATGAGATCTGGTGTACTTTCGTTTAGGGCCTTGCCCTAAAACTCTTGGGAGGACAGCCTTTCAGCTGTGGTAACGAGGAAGGGCTGCCCATTCCTTCGGACTAGGGGCTGCAAGCTGGGAAAAGTCCCAGTTCGGAGCAGGGCGCTTTGGGAAGGCTCCTCCTCGGCTATCCTCTGCCAAAGTCAGGGCTCTGTGGGAGCACCCTAAGGGCAGAGCAGCTTCCCCAGGCGGCAGGGACGCAACGAGCCCCACAGCCCCCCGCCACCAAGAGGCCCCGCCGCGGGGGGCCGGGAACGCCGCCGCCCTCCGTGCGCATGCTCGGAGCCCGCCCCGCTGCCCGCCGCCGCCTGTCCCTGCTCGGCAGCCGTAGCGGCGCGGGGCCGGCGGCATGTTCCGCATCGAGGGGCTGGGGCCCAAGATGGACCCGGAGGAGCTGCGGCGGAAGATGCGCCGCGACGTCCTCGCCTCCGTGCGCAACTTCCTCATCTACGTGGCGCTGCTGCGGATCAGTGAGTGTGCGGCACCGCGCCGGGCCGGGCCGGGCCGGGCCGGGCCTTGCTGCTGGCGGGCTGCGCGCTGCGGCGGGGCCGGGCGGGCAGGGGCCTCGGCGGGCAGAGCAGCGGCGGCGCGGCGGGGGGAGGGAGCTGGGTGGCGGAGGCGCAGCCCATCTGGGTAGGCGAGGTGCGCTGCAGCTTGGCGGCAGGCTCGGTGATGCTCCTTCTGTGTTCTCTTTTCAGCTCCTGTCATCCTGAAGAAGCTGGACAGTGTATGAACGGCGTACGAGGCGCAAAGAAGACGCGGCTTCTGCAGACGTGAAATGAACTGTAGCTGCTTTCCCTTTCTTGTTAATTAAACGCTGTGCGAGAGACAGGCATGCAGTCCTAAATGGTGTTAAAAATGGACATTGAAGCATATCTGACCTGAAAAGTGATAGCTTGGTTGGGAGTGTGGGGAAGATGTCTGTTTTTCCTGCAGCTGACTTCTGGTCGCAGAGTACTCTGTACTACAGGAAGCAGTATGTTATGATGGAATACTTCTGGTACTGTTTAAACAACAACAACAAAAACCCACCTCCATCTTCTTTTTGTATAAAGTGCCAGGACGTTGCTTTGTTATGCATCTGCCTCTAAATTGCCACATAGCTGTTAATATTACTGAACCTGTCTGTATGAGAAATCAGGTTGTTAATGAATCCAATTCAGAAAGTTGATTTAAAATAAATGGAAGAGCAGTCCTATCAATTAATGAACAACTCTGGTACTGATTGATTTATAAAGTCTCCCAGGGGGAACAAAGTCACTCCCATAGTAAGCAAAAAGAAGGATTGATACCACCTGATCAGACTGAACAGGTACAAGTCTGGGGGGTTCATGGTGTGCATCCCAAGGTCCTGAGAGAACAGGCTGATGCAGATGCCAAGCCTCTCTCCATCCTATTTGAAAAGTCCAGCTATCTGACCCAAGGAAGCCAGCTGATGTAGTCTCTCTGGATTTCACTAAAGCATTCGATACTGTCTCACAGAACTTGTCTGGACAAAATGACCAGAAAGCAGTTAGATAAAATCACAGTAAGATGGGTGAACAATTGGCTGACAGGTGAGACCCAGAGGGCTCTTGTAAATGGGGTTACATCAGGCTGGTGATCTATCACTAGCGGGGTTCCCCAGGGCTCCATTTTAGGACCGGTCCTCTTCAGTGTTTTCATAAACAATCTGGATGAAGGGCTTGAAGGATTTTTGAGCAAGTTCACAAATGATTCCAAACTGGATGGAGCTGTTGACTCCGTCAAGGGTGGTGAGGCCTTGGAGAGAGATCTGGACAAATTAAGAGAGCTGGACAGTCACCAACAGTATGAAGTTTAACAAGAGCAAGTGCCAGATTCTGCACCTGGGAAGGGGCAACCCTGGCTATTTATAAAGAGTGGGGGATGAGAGGCTGGAGAGCAGCCCTGCAGAAAGTGATCTGGGGTTTTTGGTTGACAGCAAGCTGAACATGAGCCAGCAGTGTGCCTTGGTGGCCAGGAGGGCCAACCATACCCTGGGGTGCATCAAGCACGGCATCGCTAGCTGGCCAAGGGACGGGATTGTCCCAGTCTGCTCTGCGCTGGTGCAGCCTCACCTCAAGTGCTGTGTGCAGTTCTGGGCACCAGAGTGTAAGGAAGAAAGACATAAAACTGTTGGACAGTGTCCAAAGTAGGGCAATAAAGATGGAGAAGGGTCTAGCGGGGAAGACGTAGGAGAAGCAGTTGAAGTCGCTTGGATTGTTCAGCCTGGAGGAGACAGCAGGAGACCTCATTGTGGTCTGCAGCTTTCTCACAAGGGGAGAGGAGAGGCAAGCACTGGTCTCTGCTCTGGTGACCAGCAACAAGACCTGAGGGAATGTCAGTGTTCACCGAGAGGGTGGTCACGCACTGGAACAAGCTCCCCAGGGAAGTGGTCACAGCACCAAGCCTGCCAGAATGGAAGAAGCGCTTGGACAGTGCTCTCAGGTGCATGATCTGATCTTATATTATTATTATTTCACTATTTTATTATTATTTTGAGTGGCTCTTTGGGGAGCCAGGAGTTGGCCTTGATCCTTGTGGGTCCCTTCTAACTCAAATATTCTAAGATCCTATGATTCTATGAAGTCTGTTGGGCCTGATGACGTGCATCTCAGGGTCCTGAGGGAAATGGCTGATGTCGTCGCCAAGCCTCTCTCCATCCTACCTGAAAAGTCTTGGCAGTCAGGTGAAGTAGCTGGTGACAGGAAAAAGGGAAACATCACTCCCATTTTTAAAAAGGATGGAAAAGAGGACCCTTTTTTTAAACTAAGAGAGGGGAGACTTAGATTAGGGGTTAGGAGGAAATTCATCACCGTAAGCAATGTGAGGCACTGGAACAGGTTGGCCACAGAAGGAACCCGTGGATGCCCCATGCCTGGAGGTGTTCACAACCAGGTTGGACAAGGCCCTGAGCAGCCTGATCTAGTGGGTGGCATCCCCGCCTATGGCAGGGGGATTTGAATTGGATAGTCTTTATGGTCCCTTTCAACCCAAGCCGTTCTATGGTATGATTCTAAGGCCCTCTCTCGTTCACAGTACTTCATAAGGCACTCTGACATAGTCCATTGTCTTAAACTAATGTGAGAAAAGTGCTGACATTCATGAGACCTTTCAGAGAGATGAGGACAAGACCCACCCCCCACAGGTGGCAGATGGGTACTCCAAACTTAAGAAGTGTTGGAAGAAGCTGTCCCTACATTGCTATCAGCAAGGAAACAGATTGTGAACTAAGTTACCTGAAATGCAGTATGACAATAGAGAACCTAAGCGTGGGAATGCAGAGCCGTGTCTGCTTTTAAATGCTTAAAGTGGTCTTCCTGTACAAGTTCCTACTCATACCTTTCTCCAAGTGGTGCCAGGAGTGGGCACTTTATTCAGTTCATGGGATAGATATGGCCAGGCCCCTGTGACATTGTGAATTTTCTTCGGTAACGGAATGAGCACAGGAGCTGGAAGAAACTAAACACTTACCTAGATGTGGCTACCTGGCATGGCTAGCATTCCCCCCGTGTTATGCCAGATGCACCAGGCAAGCTGTCTTTGTGCAGGCAGGCGGGGTGTGAAATCATCTACTGGCAGAAATAGCTTGGGCTTTCAACTCAGCTGTCAGGGAAGCTCACATTCTTGTGAACCAGAACTAGGTGGTTTGCAATTTCTGATGTTTAAACATGCGAAGAGACTGTCAAAATTAATAAAGATTTAATCATAGAATACCCCGAGTTGGAAGGGACCCATAAGGATCATCAAGTCCAACTCCTGGCACCACACAGGTCTACCCAAAAACTCAGACCGTATGACTAAGAGCACAGTCCAATCGCTTCTTAAATTCTGACAGGCTTGGTGCAGTGACTACTTCCCTGGGGAGCCTGTTCCAGTGCGTGACCACCCTCTTGGTGAAGAACCTCTTCCTGATGTCCAGCCTAAATCTCTCCAGATTCCCAAAATTGTTGAAAAATAATTGAGAGAGGTCCCGTGATGACATCAGCCAGCTTTTTAAGCACTCTGGGATGGATCCCATCCGGACCCATGGACTTGTATGGATCCAGGTGGAGCAGCAAATCCCGCACACATTCAGGGTCGGTTGGGAGCTTGTCACATCTTAAAGGGCATATTTTGTCTGTGTTGACGCACTGAGGCTGTGACCATCACGCTCACAAGCTAAACATCATTAGCTGGTTTTACCCACTCTGTACCGTGTCTTTCAGTGAATGAAGAACGATCAATCAACACAGAAGAAAATTGCAGAGGGCCCTCCGGTACCACCTAGCTGCCGCACAGGAATGCATCTGTTCCAAATCAAACTTCACTGGTCCCTCCTGTGAAGGGAAATGCCTCCGGTGGAAGTGTCACATGCTCAGTCAGCCTGCTCCCAAATACAGGAAATCTTAGAATTTCTGTTGAAAACCAACTCTCTTTGGGAAAAAAAAATGAGCAAACAAACAAACAAACAAACAAAAATACTCTGATTTAAGGACTAAGCCTCCTGCACACCTTGTCCTATCATCTTACTTAATGCATGTATACTGCATTCCTCACTTGAAACTCTGTGGGGACATTGCTCCCCACATTCCTACTTCTGGAAGACAGCTCAGGAGGCAAGCTAATAAACATGTCTTCATGGAGCAAGCATTCAACCCAGTCCCAAGAAAAGGAGAACTGTTATTTCCAGGCAGAAGGTTTAGCCTCTAATAAGGACAACTATTTTAACAGCGATACCAAACCCATGGTCTCAACACCTATGGGTGCAATACCTTCACAGGTTTTTACAGTGGGTCAGTGTGTCCTTGGCTTTGAGTCATACACTAAAATTATTGGCTTGATCAAACGACACCCTCTGTTGGGACAGGAGCCTTTTGGGTCAGGGCATTTCACATGTACGGCAGGTCTTAGATACAGGGGATTTAGGATGGCTTCACACACTCTTACAAGCAGCAGCAACAATGCATTTTCACTCTGAAGAACTTTGCAAATAGTAAGGAAACTGCATGTCTCATCCCTAGGGATCAAATATCAGCTCAGATACATCAAGGCAAGCATCCACTGAAGGAAAGGCTCCAATGGAAACTTGAGTGCAAGAACTTTCCCTGTGCAATCTGAACTCCAGCTCAGGTTGGAAAGATCCCAATAGTCTGGAGTGTGTGCAGTAACAGCAAGAATAGGTTTTACTCCAGCATATTACACCAGTTCGGAGACCTACATCTCTCCCATAAGATTTGCTGGTGTCATACTCTATATAATGTAGACAGATAATGTAGATTCAACTGCATCCTAATCCCTGCCTGTTAAGAACACCTCACAAAATCATCAGTTTCATCACCAATTTCAGTAAGAACTGGTCTGACCTCAGGCAATGTCCCTTGTAAGTATATTCCTATTCTACTGTGAGCATCTTCCTCAAGCAAGAATCTGGATGTCCCTGATGAAACATGGGGATTCACCTGAGTAGAGCCAAGGACCTTTTAACTCATCAGCCCCAACCATGACCAGAAAGGCTCGCTGTGGCCCCATGGCAATGGCAGAACTTCATAAAACAGGCTCTCTTGAGTCCCTAGACACATTTCATCAGACTGCACCTGTTCTGGGGCAGGCACTGGGTAGAACCAATGAGAATGGCATGCTCCTAACTGCTCTCACTAGTACTCCTCTTCAGGACCTGAACCATGGCAGAAAAGCAACTGTAAGCAGTCTGAACATAAGCCTGAGGAGATTAGATCCATCCACAGACATGGCTCATTCTGTAGCAAACGAGGTGCAACAACTAGCAAGCAAGGAGGTCGTTTTTTGAAAGGAATGAAAAAACCCATCAGTGATGGGACAAAAGAACCGTTCTTGCAGCACAGATCACAACATCACACATAAGGGGAGCATGCAAGCATTTGGACATAGCGTGAGAAGTCAGACATAAGCAACATGGCACAGCTGTTGGACAATTGTATAAGCCCCAGAAAGAACTTCAGTTCTCCTGACCTCAGCGTGTTTCTCCTGAAGTGCTGGAGCCTCTTGAGAACATTTTCATTTGTACTGCATCAACCTGGCTGGTAGTTCAAAGCAGCAGAAGGGTGGTCTGGCACCCCTCTGACCTTTCCCCATCCCCTCAAGACCTTATCTGCACTGGTGGATGAGCAGATAAAGCTCCACTTTTTCTGTTATCCTCATCCCATGCTTCCTCTCGATCCTCAGGTTCTGCATTGTTATTGTGATTTCCCA